ATGCCTTGGACGGTATGTCTTTTAAGTCCATAAAGTTGGCTTGAGTTCAACGAATATGCCGCTGAAAAGACAGGTGGCGCTCTGATGAGGATAAAATTACTAACATTCGTGTTTACTTGAGAGGTGTTGCGCTCAAGTGGTATGAAATATGCATTCAGAAGGACTATGGTGACTCGTGGAGTCAGTGGAAGAAGAAACCTTTGACTGCCATTCGGAAGCAATTCAGTACATAGATGGAGTACAGCACTTAATTTCAAGTCCAAGCAAAGCTACCTTGTCGAGTACTTCTTCGAGAAACGCCATCTTTTAAAGCTAGCTGAGCTTTTGCTTTCATCTACGGCTGTATATATAGTGGCCCTAATAATGCATGAATTACACACTGAAGTGTTGAAGCAGGTGCAAATGCAGTCACCAAGAACTCTAGGTGACCTTCTGGAGTGTCTTCAGAACATAACCGCTAACTCAAGCAGCTGTTTCAGTCGGAGTAAAGCGGACTGGTCAAGCCGGGATCAGCGAGAACCGAGCCGTCTCGCAGGTAGCATGGATAACTTGACCTGGCGCACTCCAAGAGGTCGAGTGAATAATACTGACACTGAAGCTCAGGAGGATTTGACAGAAAAAAAACAACTAATAAATGAGGGTGATCAGTACCACCTGATGACTTCAAATGAGACTGTTTATTTAAGTAGATCTAGCCTACATCACATTCCCGTCAGAGTAGGAAACAAGCCGATGATGGCCCTCGTAGACAGCGATGCATCTGTATTTATTACAAATGCCAAGATGGTGGATGCATGTCGCGTGCATAGTGGAAGAGTCCTACGGGTACAGGGCTATGATCGAAAAGTAACATTGCATGATCAGTGGGCCTTTGCAAACATCGAGTTCCAGGGTCAGAAAATAGAGAGCAGTGTTGGTGGTAGAGGCGGTGACGTACAACTTTTTGCTATCAAGACCAGATATAAAGAAATCAAAGATCAACGTATACTGGGACAATGTGGTTCTCGTCGAGGCCGTAGCAAGGAACGAGACATATCAACGTGGACAAGATAACCTACGAGTTGTCAAGTGCATCGAGGATATCGCAACAACCTACTCTGGACTTGTATGCAGAGAAAGCTACCGTCAGGCTATGAAGTCATACAAGGTTCCTTTTGAACTCGCTTACACGACTGTCATCCGAAAATCACCTTACAATAAGTCAAGAGAGCGCAACATCTGGCTCAAGAAAGAGTTGCAGGAGATTTTAGACGCCAATATCATACAACCATCGGTATCACCCTTCACTTCTCCCATAACGATCGCAACGAAAGAATACAGAACCTTCAGATTATGCACCGACTACAGGGTTCTCAATTGTCAGACAGAACTCATACCATTTCCCGTGCCGAAGATCGACACATTTATAAATGAGACTGGTGGTTGCCGACATTTTTCCTGCATCAATTTATGCAAAGGTTTCTGGCAGATCTCACTAACCGAAGAAACAAAAATGTACACAGCTTTTATCACACCGTTCGACCTCTACAAGTATAACTGGCTTCCTTTCGGTTAGAAAAACTCACCAGCGTGGTTCCAAGAGGTAATGAACGACATGCTAAAGCCATTTCTTGGTGTTTTCTGTAATGTGTACATAGACGACATAATAGTCTTCTCCAAAACAAAAGCTGAGCATCAGGACCATCTGTCTCAGGTGTTAAACGCTTTAAGCTTGGCACATCTCAAGGTCAATTTTAAGAAGAGTGCATTCTTTCAACAAAAGGTTGTGTTTCTTGGATGATTCTTCGTTGGAAACACCAAAAGCATGAAACAAGAGTCCGCCGAGAAGATCTCCCAGTTGAAGAAGTCATATGACGTCTATTCATTGCGTGTGTTTTTGGGATTGGCAGGACATTTCCAATCTTTCATAAATGACTTTGCAGGCAAAACTAGATTTCTCACACGTTAAACACAGAAAGACATTCTCTTTGAATGAAGTGACGAATGTGAGAGAGTCTAACATGACTTGGTGCACAAAATTTCTTCTTTCCTGCTCAACGAGTTTAAAAGAAATTTTGTATGACTTGTATGATTCTGTCCTACGCCTACCAGACTTCACTTCACCCTTTGAATTGAATACTGACGCCTCACATTATGGGACTGGTGCAGTGTTGTATCAAAAATGTATTGAGGCATCCAGCCAAACAGCCAAGAAAAGCGACACGTAGTAGGTTCCTACAGTCTATTATTTTTTTTATTTACAAAATACTGCAGGCCATGTGGCCCATGCAGGAGGGGCAGGGTACAACATAAATACATGTACAAAGCACAATTGAGTATCATAAACAAGTCAGGTAATGATAAAAAACAACTCTAAATATAATTACGAAATAGTGAAGAAATAATTCTGTATTGATTTAGTCGAGTCCAGATGATAAAAAGGTATTAGGTTTCATTCTTCTATGGTGCGGAGAAAAAAAAGAATATTTAAAAAGTTTGGATCTGGCAACATATAGGGAGAGTGTGAGGGGATGGGAATGATGGGTTTTCCTAGTCTCAGAAAGGGTTATGTAAGGACTGGGATCTATAAAGAATTTACGTTTTCACAAAGAATGGAGGAACTTCAGTCGGAATATTTTGCACCGCATTTGAAGTGTGTGAAAACCGTTGGAACGTATAAGGTCTGTTACAGAGTCCTCACGGCTGTATTTAGAAAAAATGAATTGCATGGCTTTTCTCTGTATTCTTTCAAGACAATTAATATTGGTTTAGGTGAAAGGATCCCAAATAATGCAGGCGTATTCTGCCTTGGGTCCGATAAAAGTGGTATAGCCTAAAGTTTTTACGTCATGGGAAGCATGTTTAAGCTTGTGTCGAAGTAGACATAATTTTCTGAAAGCTGAAGAGGCGGTGTTAGAAATGTGGGTGCTTCAGTTGAGGTTGTTAGTAATGGTAAGTCCAAGATATTTGTACTCCTTAACTTCAATCAATGGGTCTTGGCCAATGGAGTATGAAAACTTCAGGGGTACTGTTTTTTTAGTTAAACGCAGGAGCACAGACTTAGAATAATTTAGTTTCATGCCCCATTTATTGCTCCACTTAAAAATACTGTTTAAGGTTGCACTAAGCAAGAATCGGTTTTCAACTGCACTAATTTCGTTAAAAATAATGCAGTCGTCTGCGAAAAGAGGAATATTTACTGGGGCTTGTATGACATCTGTTATATCGTTGCAATAAATAAGGAATAATAGTGGGCCAAGTACACTTCCCTGAGGGACCCCTGAGGTTACCGGGAAAGAGTCAGATTGTTGTCCGTCAATGATAACACACTGTTTTTGATGCGTTAAATAAGCAGATATCCATGATAGGATGAAGCTAGGAAAACCGAGGAACTGTAACTTGCAGATTGATTTGTCATGAGGAACAACATCAAAAGCATTCTGAAAATCTAAAAATATAACAACTATTTGTCCACCTCTGTCAAGAACAGAAGCGAAGGAATATATGACCATACTTAATTGGGTAATTGTCGAAAGACCCTTCCTAAAGCCATGTTGAAAAGGAGTTAGATTGTCATGCTCATTTAAGAAGTTATTAATGTAGTCCGAAACGATATGCTCAATCATTTTGCAAGATGATAAAATGGAAGTCGGACGGTAATTTAAGACTGAAGATGGGTCGCCCCTTTTAAAATCGGTACAATGCTTGTAATTTTCCAATCGGGTGGAAGTATAGCGGATTCTAGAGAGGCCTGAAAGATTGCGACAAGAAATTTCCTTAGTGGTTCAGTGTAACGCCAGAGGAAGGAGTTGGGAATGCTATCAGGACCGACGGAAGATTTTGTCTTCAATCGTAGAAGCATGTTAAGCACACCTTGTTGAAAAATATTGATATCCGAAAAGGAGGACCGTGAAATTTGAAAATAAGGCTGAGTAGGCGAGGAGAATACACTGTGAAAGTGGGCATTTAAAAGGTCAGCAATGCTTTTGGGGTCAGTTATTACAGTGCCGTCATGGGTAATGCTCGTTATCGATTTGTTGTGGTCCCTAATAAAGTTCCTAAACTTTTGTGGATCTTCCCTTATAAAGTTAGGTAAAGTGTTGCTGAAATAAAACTTCTTTGCTTCTGCGATAGATTCCGACAGAGCTTAACGAACAGTGGTTAAATTAACGGCAGTAGCTCCTTTTTTTCGAAATCTTTTGGCTTTACGTTTTAATTGAATGGTACGCCTGTTCATCCAAGGTGTGTGTTTAGTTGGTTTTACACGCCAGTTCGGTATAAACTGATCTATGCAGAATAAGCACATGGCTTTAAACTTAGTCCGAAGCTCAAGGATGTCACTTGCGCGAAATTCACAAAAGCAAGATTCAAGCTATTCTATTACACTGATATCGTCAGCCCGTGCAAAATAATTTCACAATCATAGGTGCATGCGTGTCAGGCGTACGTTTAACATTCAACGAAACGTATACAGCAACAATATCATGGTCAGATAGGCCAGGCTCGACAGACACATGGTAATTAGAAAAGGAATGATCAAGAAAGGCGAGATGAAGGAGCGAGTCGAAACTGGTTCCATGTCAAGTAGGCTCGCGAACTACTTGTACAAGATTGTGTTCAAGCAACGAATCAAAAAGAACGTTTGCGTCACGTACAGAACCGGCACCCGGTTTGATATGATCCCAGTCAATGCATGGTAGGTTGAAATCACCAACCACCAGAAGTATACTTTAATTGACTTGTGAAATGTGGTCACTAACTTTAATAAGTAATCAGGGGCTGAGTCAGGTGGCCTGTAAACGGCACATAAAACAATGACATGACCATAAATGTTTAATTTAATGCAGAGGCTTTCAGAGTCCTTCGATTGGATCAACGGAATTACCTGAACAGACGACTTCGCGAAAATCCATCTCTTCGAATTATTTTGTAGCCAGGTGGGATTAAATCTTTGTCACTAACTTCATCGTGTAGCCATGTTTCCGTTAAAACAATAACATGTAGAGAAAGCAACAAAAGAACCAATTTTAATTGATTAGTTTTATTCAGTATAATGTGTGTGTTAATGTTCAGTATTCTAACAAGCCTTTCCTTGACTTGTAAAGTAAAATGTACATTGGCACAAAAACCAGAAGTTATCTCACGGTGGTTTGTTGTTTCATTCCAGATGAATACATCATTATCAATCCGCAGCTTATTGTGCTGAAGTGCAACTTTCTTTCTGAGCGACTTGTCATGCTTCGCACTTCCCATAATAGCTTACACTTCTTCAATGTGACTTGGGAATAGTCACTCTGAACAAAAATGCTTGATCCCTTCAGCTTTGAAACATTCTTAAAAATCGTTACTTTCTCGTTATAATCCTGTAGAAACATTATTACTGGTCTTTTAGATCCAGTCCTTCCAAGTCTGTGAATATGGCCAGTAGCGATGCACTTAACACCTAGCCTATTTTAGAGTGTTTCAGTAATAACTTTGCGCTTCAGATCAGTTTCTGTCTCGTTTGGTTCTTCAAGGATACCATGAATAACTACGTTCGAGCGCCTATTTCTGTCTTCGATACCGATGAGTTTGCTAGCGTGTTTTTTCACAGACTCCTGAAACGTTTTCTACCGAGTTTTCAAGACAGCCTAAGCCAGCCGTATTAGATTTCAGATCAGAGACCTGCACCTGAAGCTGCTTAAACAACTCTCTCATCTCGGCTATCATATTTTTTGTTTTATTTTTGAAGTCAGCTAATTCATTTTGTAGCAGATTCTGATATTCAAGAATTTGTGCAATAATTCAGCATTAGTGGGTCCCGGATTTTCTTCAACATCACCACTAAGTAACAGTTTTAGTGCACAAAAGCACTCATAACAAATTTCACACTTTTATAACAAATTTCGTGGGCACGGCAGAACTAGCAAGAAATGACAGTCGCTAGTAAACGTAGAAGAGCTAGAACAAACCTGCAAAAAGCAGAACGGCTTGGTGAGCGACATGCTTCAGCCAGGCCCACTGTGCCCACTGAAGACAAACTGATGAACTGATTTTTTTATGCGGGTGACGCTAAATGACGTCACGTATCCAGGGGGCATTGTAGCTTCCTTGAGATGGGTGGCGATTTCCGTTGGATTAACATTGTTCCTTGTCAGTTCCTCAAAATGGTCCTTCAGCTGAAGAAGGAATGCCGGTATTTCACCTTGAGGTCAGCGAAGAGCTGACGGCCCAGTGACCCAGAAAAGCAAGCACTGCAAAAAGCAGAAGAACTACTTGGTGAGCGACATGCTCCGGCCAGGCCCACCGCGCCCACTAAAGATAAACTGATGACCTAATTCTTTAATGCGGGTGACGCTAGATGACTTCACGTATCCAGGTGGTGTTGTAGCTTCCTTGAGATGGGTGGCAATTTCTGTTGGATTAGTATTGTTCCATGTTGGTTCCTCAAAATGGTCCTTCAGCTGATGAAAAGATGCCGGTATTTCACCATGGGGTCGGCGAAGAACTGACTGCCCAGTGACCCAGTGAAGCAGGCACTGCAAAAAGCAGAACAGCTTGGTGAGCGACATGCTTCAGCCAGGTTCACCTTGCCCACAGTTACTACATAACGTGTTACTACAGTTACACGTTTAAACCATCTGAAACTAACTACACTAGTACGGAAAAGAAAGCCGTGGCCATTCTGAAGGCCATTGAGTACTTCCGTACGTATTTGGAAGGTACGAAGTTCACTTTGCTCACCGATCACCAGGCCCTCACTCATCTCTTGAATATTGTCGCGGTGCAGCGCGAACCAAAGGCAGATAAACGTATAAACGTTCACACAGCGACTCTCAGCAGCCGAACAGCAAGATCGCCTTCTTTATCTTCAATCAGCCAGAGCTCCACTACCTGGTGTCCGCCAAATCCCCTTATTGTTGTTTTGGTCCACCAGTACACACGCGTCATTTGCCCCCCCCCCCCCCTCTTAATGAGCATCGCCCCGATGCTAAACCAGTAGTGCAGTTTTTTTTTGTCTGTTCTTTAAGAAGTGTCTTGCGCAGTCACTACCTTTCATAAGGCTTCATGCACACAACGTGAACTAGTTCAGGACGGTGCTGGCGAAGCCTCGTACTATATGAACTGTCGGGGACGACCTCGTACGTAACATCACTCAGTCGTCGCAGTACTAGATATGGGCCAAAGTATCTCCTTAGGAGCTTTTCAGAGAGTCCTCGTTTCCGTATGGGCGTCCAAACCCATACTCTGTCGCCGGTCTGGTAAACGACTGTTCTGCGGCGAGAATTGTAGCGGCTCGAGTCGTACTCTTGTTGTTGCTGGATTCGCAGGCGTGCTAGTTGCCTTGCTTCTTCCGCTCGTTCTGTAAACATCTCGGCGTCTGGTTCGATGTCGTCGCATTCGTGCGCTAGCATCGCATCTAACATGGTTCGCACTTCCCTTCCGTGAATTAGGCTGAACGGGGTCATCTGGGTTGTTTCTTGCTTGGCAGTGTTGTATGCAAACGTGACATATGGCAAGATTTCGTCCCAGTTTTTGTGTTCGACGTCTACGTACATTGAAAGCATGCCTTCAATTGTTTTGTTCAGACGCTCTGTAAGCCCGTTCGTTTGCGGGTGGTAGGCGGTGGTCTTGCGATGGGTTGTTCCACTCAGCATGAGGACTTGTTCCAAAAGAGCTGCCGTAAATGCGGTTCCTCTGTCTGTGATTACGACGCTTGGTGCACCATGCCGCAGGACAACGTTCTCGATGAAAAATTGTGCCACCTCCGCTGCTGTACCTCTCTGGATAGCCTTTGTTTCAGCATAACGGGTAAGGTAATCAGTCGCGACAATAACCCAGCGGTTCCCAGCAGTAGAAGTAGGAAGTGGGCCCAAAATATCCATGCCAATCTGGTCGAATGGTGTTCTTGGGACCTGCACGGGCTTCAGGAGGCCAGCTGGCTTAGTCGGTGGTGACTTCCGTCGCTGGCAGTCGAGGCAAGTACGAACATGGTGTTTTACGGCTATGGTCAGTCTTGGCCAGAAGTAGCGCTGCCGTACTCTGGCCAACGTTCTTGTGTAACCTAAGTGGCCTGAAGTCACCTCATTGTGGCATGCTTCGAGTACTTCGGAGCGAAGGGCTGCTGGGATGACGAGCAAATACGCAGATCCTGTCGAAGAGAAGTTTCTTTTGTATAGTACTCCGCTCCGTAAGCAAAATGATGACAGTGCTCTTACGAAAACAGTCGGTGCCTTCTGAGATCTCCCCTCCAGGTAACTAATTAGGGCAAGTAACTCAGGGTCGCCACGTTGTTGCTGTGTAATAGCGATTGAGTCAAGCACACCGAGAAATGCCGTTTCCTCCTCATCGGATAGAGTTGCCGATTCAATGGGTGAGCGGGATAGACAGTCGGCGTCCATGTGGCGCTTTCCTGACTTGTGTACGACAGTCATGTCGTACTCCTGCAGCCTGAGACTCCAACGCGCTAATCTCCCGGTAGGATCTTTAAGATTTGTCAACCAACACAGTGAGTGGTGGTCGCTGATGACTTTGAAAGGGCGGCCGTATAAATACGGGTGAAATTTCGTGACCGCCCATACCACGGCGAGGCATTCCTTCTCAGTCGTGGAGCAATTAGTTTCAGCGCGTGTTAGTGTTCGGCTTGCATAGGCGATTACTCTTTCTGTGCCCTCTTGCAGCTGCACAAGCACAGCTCCCAAACCAATATTGCTGGCATCCGTGTGTAGCATCGTTGGGGCTTTCTCATCAAAGTGGGCAAGCACTGGAGGCGTCTGTAGTCGCTGGCGGAGATTCTTAAAAGCAGCTTCCTCTTCGTTGCTCCATTGGAAAGCAACGTCTTCTCTCGTGAGGCGGGTCAACGGTGATGCGATGCGTGCGAAATCCGCGATGAATCGCCTATAATACGCACATAGTCCGAGGAATCGTCGGACAGCCTTCTTATCAGTCGGCACTGGGAACTGTGCAACAGCTGCGATCTTTTCAGGATCAGGACGAACGCCTGCGTGACTGACAACGTGGCCAAGAAATTGCAGCTCTTCATAGCAAAAGTGGCATTTTTCAGGCTTCAACGTCAAGCCCGCAGACCGTATGGCTTGTAAAACTGCCTCAAGTCTTTTAAGGTGCTGGTGATAGAAACTACGACATCATCAAGGTAGACCAAGCAGGTTTTCCACTTCAACCCAGAAAGTACGGTATCCATAAGTCTTTGAAAGGTAGCAGGCGCTGAACATAAACCAAAGGGCAAGACTTTAAATTCATATAAGCCATCTGGTGTCACAAAAGCAGTCTTCTCGCGGTCTCTTGGGTCTACCTCGATTTGCCAATACCCACTCCTTAAGTCCATCGATGAAAAGTAACGAGCATGTCGAAGTCTGTCGAGAGAGTAATCTATACGAGGAAGTGGATACACATCTCTCTTTGTCACCTGATTGAGTTTTCGGTAATCTACACAGAAGCGCAGGCTGCCATCTTTTTTTAACGAGGACTACAGGTGACGCCCAGGGGCTTTTTGAGGGCTGAATGACGTCATCTTCTAGCATTTTGTCGACTTGCTCTTGTATCACTTCGCGTTCTTTTGCAGCCACGCGATAGGGGCTTTGATGAATTGGTCTCGCCATGTCCTCGGTAATTATCCGATGCTTGGTTAGAGGCGTGCGGCCAACTCTTGATGTTGTCGAAAAGCAGTCTTTGAATTCGGCCAGTAGCTCAAGAAGCCTCTTTCGCTCGTTCTTAGGCAAAGTAGTGCTAACGTCAAGAACTGGTGTCGAATCAAGTTTTGGTGCCTCGTCGACTACTGCCAAGCAGCCTTCTGCGTCTGTGATACCGTCGAAGTAAGCGACGGCCATGCCTTTTGGAAGGTGCCGGCGCTCATCACTAAAATTTGTCAGAAGCAAGTCCGTGCGTGCAGCGGCGACACTGACGATACCTCTTGCGACGGAAATGCCGTGTGTGAAGAGGAGCGAGGTTATTCGGTCTGCTACTCCTTCGCCATCAAACTGGACAGCGGCTGCCACAGAAACAAGCGTGCATGACCGTGGAGGGAGAACCACATCGTCATCAGTTAGACGCAATTGATTTGGTCGCGCCTGTGTACAATCAGGTGCGCCCGAACTGTTGCGGAATGTAATCAAAGTGTCTGGGATATTGATGACGGCGCCGTACTCTCGTAAGAAGTCCATACCAATAATTAGATCCTTGCAGCATGCGGCGAGAACGACGAACGACGAAACGAAAGAAGAACCTCCTATGTCAATTCTCGCTGTGCATCTTCCAGAGGGCATCAATAACTGACCACCTGCCGTCCTTATTTGAGGGCCTGTCCACGGAGTCTCCACTTTCTTGAGGCGCATGGCGAGGTCCTGACTGATGATAGAAAAGTCGGCACCGGTGTCGACTAAGGCTGTTACTTTCTGGCCGTCAAGAAAAACACTCAGGTCAGCGGTCACAATGTCGTCGCTCTCACGTCTTGTCGAATTTACAGCGTCGTGTAATGGGGGCTTTTCGTCGTCATATTCATGGCCTGCAACCTTACCCCCGGAGGTCGCCGCCCTCAGTTTCCCCGTCGCGGGCTGGGTGACCTTCTTGGGTTAAGGTCCGCGGAGGTACGTCGGTGTGACGAAGGTGATTGAGCGGGTGAAGGAGAGCGGGATTGACGTCCCAAACCTGGCTGGCGGGTAGGTATTGCCTCCTCGTCAGAAGTACGGTATTCGTAAAAGTGAGAACGGGCTCCATGGAAAGAGGCGTCCTCCCGGCGTGGTATGTATTCTTCGTTCGCACGTCGATCGTCAGACCATGTTCGAAGTGGGCGGAACGAATCATTGCGGTGCCAGCAATGACGGGCAATATGACCTGCACCTCCACAGTTGAAGCATAGTGGACGTCGATCGATTGTGCGCCACCCGTCTGTTCTTCGGAGTGGTGGACGTCTGAGCCTCCCTTCTTGCGACGATGTCCATGGTGCTGCTGTGGACGCCTGGTGGTACGTCGGTTGGCTTGGCGGTCGGCTCAGGGTCTGCTCTTGCCGCGGTGACCAAGGGGCCGTCGGCACTGGGTGATATGGCGGCGATGTACCAGATGGTGAACGTCGCAGAGCATCGGCATAGCTCATGGGATGGTGCTCATCACCAGGACCAGCGGTAGAAAAGGCGTGGCGGATTTCGTCGCGTACCAGTTCAGCGACGGACGCAACGGGGGTTTGAGCAACCGGATTCCGGAACTTTTGAAGTTCTTTGCGAACTATCTCCCTAATGAGGTCTCGCAGGGAGCTTTGATCCTCAGGTATGGCGGCAGCATTGATTGGGGCGCTGCTAGACATTCGATGATACTGCCTGCATCGTTGATGGAGCGCCCGCTCGATAGCCGTAGCCTCCTTGATGAAGTCAGCTGCGGTACTTGGAGGATGGCGCAGTAGCCCGGCGAAAAAAAGTTGCTCCTTAACGCCGCGCATGAGGTAGCTCAACTTCCTATCTTCACTCATGTTCGGGTCAGCTCGACGAAAAAGACGAGTCGTATCTTCAGCAAACATAGTAACGCTTTC